TAAAAGGAAAATGATAAGAGAAAATAAATTTACAAAATAAAGGAGCCTCTTCGCAACAAGATATGAAGCATATATTGTTGGCAAAAAAAAAAAAAAAGATATGAAGCATATACAAAGTTTTGAATTTCAAGTTCATTGTTTTCTATAATCGATAAAGCTCCAAATAAGTGTTTTTTCAATTAAAAAAAAAGTTGTGGTTATGATATGTGGAAATTATAGAAAGTTTAAATAAGCATAAAAATTAAATAGAAAATTATTTTTGGCAAAAAAAGTTAAAATGATTGCTTTCTTTTGTATTTCATAATTAATGAATATCTGGTTGGCTTTAAAAAAAAAAAAAAAGAATATCTGGGAAACGGTTGCGTGTAAAGGCTATCGTGAAGACATGCAAAGAAGGTATCACGCGGAAATAGAGAAACTATGTTTTTTTGGTAATAATGGAGAAATTATTTTTATAATACTGACATAATAATAAATCAAGTATGATAGGTTAAGGAATTACAAATAAAGTGGCAGCACTTTGTTTCTTTTTTTCTTTTTTGTTTTGTTTTATGTTGCATATAATAAAAGAAAAAATCACATAAAAGTTGAATGTTTTGTATGAAGTCAAATTTAAATTATATGGGTTATTTAAAACCTTCGTCATGTATTCCTCCGGTCTTTAATATAGGATCTAATTATTGAGTTGATTTTAGTACTAAATATAAACCCTATTTATCATATTTATCAATTTTTTTAAATTAACCCTATGAATCTCCCATAACCATGATTAATTAGAAGATGGAGAGAAAATATTAAAGAAGATATTTATGGTGTTTTAGAAAAAAAACATATCATATTTTTTATAATTAACTAACTTCTTTAACTTCCTTAATAAGTCTTATATTAAGGATTGGAAGAGTATTGAAAACAAAGACTAATCAGAGAAAAATTAGTTTTATGTGTATATGTATACATTGACGGAGAGTTAAAAAAAATTGCAAAAAACACTACAAATATTAGACATTTGAAACAGTAAAAATTGGTTTCGCATTTTATAATTAAAAAATACAGTGATAGATGATTACACAAATTTTTTTCTCTTAATTTGAAGTTATGTATTGACTCTTTTTATTTGATAAGGAATTTTCCTAAATTAGATTGGTCCATGCACTACATAAAAATCTAAAAGAGCAATAAATTAGTTTGTAGAAGTTATAGCACTTGAATAAAAAAAATTAATACCCGCATTCTCTATTGGTAATTTGGTCCTATCTTTTGATATTGCCACTTGGTCCCTCCTCTTGATATTTTTACTCAGTCACTCCTATTCTAAATACAATAGCTAGATAAAAAAAATTACTTTGATTTTAAACATAAGGCTTCATTTCATTTTGTCTTTCAAAATTATAATTGTTTTCCCAAAATATCAATTCTACATATTGAGAGGAATTTATAGTTCGAATACAGATGATCAAATAAACTATTTTAGAGAAACTAATAAAAATTTATTATAAATAACAAACTTAATTAATTTTTTTATATTTATAAATTAATTATTTAACTCGTATATTAAGAATTAGAGTAATAATCTTTTTAGATATGAAAAGTGTAATGAACAATTAGAGCCGAATGAATAAGCTATTTATTTAATTTAAACAGTAGAAGTAAATTATGGAATATATATTATTTAATTTGAACTCATTCAAATTAAACACTTATTTGATTAATTATTTATTGTTGTCACTCCAATTTTAAAATACTAGTGCTCTGCTTAGATTTAACTAATCACCAAAATTTGCCTTGTTATTAAGGATAGCGATGGTAGAGATCCTAAAAAGAGTAAGTGATAATGAGAGTTGAATTTTTGTTACTAAACATTAAAAAAAATTAATTTTATTTCCTTATTCCATCTTTTTTGGGTATACTAATTCATAAATTTCATTGAATGCTTTAAGGAGTCGTGGCCAACCTAGTTATTTACAATCATAGGAATAGATATTTTCAAGCATACATAGGAACAGTGACTAATAAAGACATCTCACATTATACCCAAAAAAAAAAAAGGACATCTCACAGCCTTATAACTTTTTTTTTTTTTTAAGCTCAAACTTTCAGTGTTTGAATGTGGAGAAAAGAAGTCGTTTTCATAGAAAGTGGGAGTCAAATTTATCATATGTATACTTTTTCATTTTTGACCAGAGTATACTTTTTCATTTATATACTATACTTCATAAATATTTATATGGAATAGAAAGTCAACAATTTCATAATTTCAATATAGTTCTTAGAGGACTCCTTTAACTTTCACCCAATGAATAGATTAAACTGATCATGTTTGGATTCTGGAAATATGTTCACCAAATACTCCTCCGGTCCTTAATATAGGACCCAATTCTTGAGTTGATTTTGGTCCTAAATATAAGACCCATTTATCATATTTATCAATTTTCTCTAAATTACCCCTATGGATACTCTCTCAACTATAATCAAGTAGAAGAAGGAGAAGAGGTATTAAGAAAGATGATTATGGTGTTTTAGGAAAAATGTATCACTTTTTTTATAATTAACTAACTTACCTAACTTTCTTAATCTAATCAAATTAGTTAAACGAGTCTTATATTAAGGACCGGAGGAGTATATACTTTCGGAGGATATAAGATTCGTTATGCAACAGTTTAAATTTATGGAAAAATTTGCTGCGAATGATCGGATAAATGATCATTTTTCTAATTCTAAATATAGAAATTTAATACTCCTCCGGTCCTTATTATAAGACCCAATTTGACTTTTTATTTGGTCCTAATTATAAGACCCAATTCATTTTTTCTCTTATATTTATGCATTTTTTTCCAACATAATCCTTCTAATAATGATAGTTTTAGCCAATATACTTAATTAGCAAGGATATTTTAGGAATGATAACACTTATTTATTATAAATAACCAACTTAACTTACTTCCTTAATCTCCTCAAATAAGTCAATTGGGTCTTATAATTAGGACCGGAGGAGTAGTTAGTTTAAAAAAACTAAAAAAATAATTAAATTAGTTATTTATAAAAAATAGATGGTGATATTTTTTTAAAGATATTTCCTTTAATTATTTGTATTGGATTGGAAAATATCATTAAACATTCATTTACTACCTCCGGTCCTTAATATAAGACCCCGTTTGACTTTTTGTTTGGTCCTAATTATAAGACCCCAATCCATTTTGTCTTTCATATTTATACATTTTTTTCCAAGATAGTCCTTCTAATAATAATAGTTTTAGCTAATACACTTAATTAGCAAAGATATTTTAGGAATAACAACACTTATTTATTACAAATAACTAATTTAACTTCCTTCCTTAATCTCCTCAAATAAGTCAACTGGGTCTTATAATTAGGACCGGAGGTAATATAATTTATAGAGATATTTTTAAAAAACTTGAAAAGTAAAATAGATTGAATTTTTTTAATTAAAGGGGATTAACGACATAATAATATAAATGGGATTAAACTAGCGTTAGACTATAATACTATTATGTTGGCGAAAAAAAGAGAGATTATAATACTAGTTCCGTTCTTAATTATAAGAGCTAGTTGACTAATTTAAGGAGATTAAGAAAATAAATTAAGTTAGTTCTTTATAATAAATAGGTGTTGTCTTTCCTAAAATATCCTTGCTAATCAAGTTTATTAGCTAGAACTATCATTATTACAATGACTATATCGGGAAAAAAATATATCAATATGAAAGACAAAATAGATTGAGGTCTTATAATTAGGATTAAAATAAAAATCAAACGAGATCTTATATTAATGATCAAAGGTAGTACTATTAACCTTCTCAACTAGTTTCTAGAATTAGCATCGAAAGGAGCGTAATTTAGTAAGTTTAAAAGCAAATTGTATCTTGTTAAAATTAACAGGGGCTGTAATTCATTTTGGAATGACAAACTGAAAGCTCATGACAATAATAAAAAGGCCTCATTCATTCACAAAAAATTCTGGTAAAAAAAAACACAAAAGACAAAATAAGAGAAAATTAATAAAAAGGGGGGGGGGGGGGGCTGAGCTGACACGCATTGGGTTAGGGGAGGGGAAGGGACAAGAAGAACCGAGAACGTGAAATGGAAAGTGGAAAATCCAAAAACCCCAGAAAGAGAAAAGGAAGAGACCTATGAAAAGCTTCAAGCTTTTTTCCCTGGCCAAAGCTTCAGGCTTTGTTCACCCAAAATTTTTTTTTTGAAGCTCTGTTTTGTTGGCTACTTCAATCAAAACACTGCTTTTTCCTTGTTTTATTGCAGGACTTGGGTTCCATTGAGTGCTCTCAGTTAAATCTTAATTGAAAAATATTAGTAATCGAATTGCAATTTAACGATGCAGAGGAAAGTTACAGTTAAAAATTTTTATTTATAGAAAAAATTTAGCTCGAGTTGTTACGTTTATTATGTTAAGTTTTTAATTACATAGGGTTAAGTGTTTTTTTTATTTCATATGAATTTATCATTAAATATTATTAATAAAAAAATAAAATACATAATTATATTACCTCCGGTTTTTATTATAAGACCCCGTTTGACTTTTTATTTGGTCTTAATTATAAGACCCCAATCCATTTTGTCTCTCATACTTATGTATTTTTTTCCAAGATAATCCTTCTAATAATGATAGTTCTAGCCAATATACTTAATTAACAAGGATATTTTAGGAATGACAATACTTATTTATTACAAATAACTAACTTAACTTACTTCCTTAATCTCTTTAAATAAGTTAATTGGGTCTTATAATTAGGACCGGAGGTAGTATGTAATTAAAAAATTTAATATAATGAATATAAGTAAGTTGTTTTATTTATTTGTAATAGCGTCTGAGGAAGCGTGAGATCCAAATCCTGTGTTACATTCCGTTTTTGTTTTTGTTTTCCAATTTTTGTTTTCGCCGACACATACACTCTCGCTTACTCATACTCATTACTTCCTTTTTCTTTCTTTCGTTTTCCCTTTATGTTTCTCTCTCTTCATTACTATAAGCTTCGAATCTCCATCTCACTCGGCGTCCCTTTCTTTAATGGCGATGCCTTGGACAACTGGTCGCGATCTCACAGCTACCTACTCCTCTAACCCCATCTTCTTCTTCTTGTTCCTTTTCCCTGTGTCTTCACTGCTCTTGCATGTTCTTCACCACACCTGAACCCCGCCTGAAACAACTTTCAGCTCCGTCTATAGTGGCCGGAAACAACAATGGCGGCCACTCGAGTGGCTTCTTCTCTTTTTCTTCCAATCGCTCTGATCTTTTCTGCTCTTCATCCTGCTTTAGCCAACACTGACGCTACTGATGGTATTTGCTTCTGCTTCTTGTTCTCTTAGTTTGATCATTCCCGTGGCTGATTGACATAAGGTTTGCTATTAATATGATAATGATAAGGAAAGTGCTTCGAAGTTCAGGAAAGTTTGGATTTTGAATCGCGATTGAGGCGAGTGGAACCGAACTCGGTGCCTTGACTTGTGAGAGTTTGATTTTATCTGTCTGACTGCAGTGAAAATGTAATTAATAAAGCGATGGCTTTATTATGCTTTTTGGAAAAGGAAGAGATTTTTAGATTGAACTGGAGTGAAGGCATGGACATTTTTAGGGGCTTTGATCTTGTTCGTCTATTCTGATTAATAAAATAAACGATGTTATGCCTTCATTCATGTCCTCACCAAAACATTTTTTTTTAAATATCTTTATTTGAATTTATTTGTATGTTTAACTGAGGGGGGTGGGATGATGCCGTTACCGGTCGTATCTCTTAGTTTTGGGATCACAGTGCTGTTCTTCTTGCTTCAGTTCAAGCGCTTGAGGTTTTGTACAACGCTTTAAACAGCCCTCCTTGGCTAACTGGCTGGAAAATTGGTGGTGGTGATCCTTGTGTAGAGTCATGGAAAGGGATAACATGTGAGGGCTCAGCCGTTGTTTCCATGTATGAGATGATATTGCACAAGCGTAACTTTTAGTTTTTTCAGTTGTGTTTTTTGTTTGAGAAAACTAACCAACTGGTGTCATTGCTGTGATGTTAATTAGAGAATTGTCAGGTTTGGGACTCAATGGGACTCTGGGATACCTGCTTTCGGACCTTATGTCGCTGAGACAACTGTGAGATAATCGAACTTGTTGTTTTTGTGGCACTTATTTATTTATTCTTTTTCTGTTCTTACATATTAATATCGATGTTCTTCTGCTCTTTTTTCCTTTTCAGTGACTTAAGTGACAACAAGATCCACGACACAGTCCCTTACCAGTTGCCACCAAATCTGACAAGCCTGTAATGCTAGCTTTCCATCATGTGATTTTCTTATCATTCTTGATCAGCTTCACTCTGTTGTTTAAGTTAATACGCCATCATTCTATGATTATAATATTCAGGAACCTCGCAAGAAATAACTTGAGCGGAAATCTTCCTTATTCCATTTCTGCCATGAGTTCCCTCAATTATTTGTAAGTTGCTTTTCTGTTCGTGTATAACATTATTTCATATCGTTTAATTTAGTTATATGTTGTAGCTACCATCCGATTGCATTTCTATATGGTTGTTAGGAACGTGAGCCACAATGCACTCTCCCTTTCAATTGGAGACATTTTTGCCGACCTTGCTGATCTCGGTACCCTGTAAGACATCTCCCATAGTGCATTTATTTCTTTTAACTTCTTTTTATATTGTCATTCAATCTCCTTTCCACAACATTACTGATTAATGATTTAATGTCATGACTAACTAATTTCAGCACTGCCTATGGTTTTAGCAATTAATAGAAGTGACTTAGCTTGATTGGTTGAGAGAATTTTGCGCTCCAGGAATGAACTACGTGCTATTTCTCTGTTTTTTTTCCCCCCCTTTTTGTGGACAAACTTTTGATAGTGCTCAAAACATTTTGTAGTAGTTTTAGTTTCATGACTACAGTGGCAGATAGCTGGCATTCTTCCTTTATATTGGCAGTACGATTAGTTTCAGGATGCTTATATGAATCTTTAACATTTGATTTGCATCTTTTGTATGATGAAGGTTCAATGGTAGCGTTTAGTCTTTGTTGCCCAGTTTGGAGTTCATTCTTTGCTTTTAATAGTTCTATTCTCCTTACTTTAGGTTGGCTTTTTCCTTTCTTTTTTTTTTTTTTGGGGGGGGGGGGTTGAGGCAGTGTGATGACGGAAAAAGTAGAGAGGGAGAGCTCAAACTATTTTTAACTCAAATATTATTTTCTTAACAACTGAGTTATTACTGGAGAACTGTTTCTAACCTAAGTTTTATTCTATCTGATAAGCGTTTGACGTGTGCATTCCATAATGCAGGGATCTATCGTTCAATGACTTTTCTGGAGATCTTCCTCCCTCATTCGGTTCATTGTCCAATCTTTCTTCTGTGTATGTTAGATAATATTTTAACAGATGACCTAGTTGAGGTTCGCAATGAATGTTTATTTGACTCAATATGTTACAGCTTTTTGCAGAACAATCAGTTGACCGGTTCTCTTAATGTTCTTGTTGGTTTGCCTTTAGATACTTTGTAAGTTTCTCTCACCTCTGGGCTCAAATTATCTGCATATGATAACCTAATTCTGCTCCATTGTTTTCCAGAAATGTTGCGAACAACAATTTCACTGGATGGATACCTCAGGAACTTAGTTCAATTCATAATTTTATGTACGTGTTAATGCAACTTTGTCTGCAATGTCTTCCTGTTTTGCAGTGCCTAACTTCTTCATTTTGACTAATGTGGCTCTTTAAATATGGACTAGATCTGATGGGAACTCCTTTGACAATGGCCCTGCTCCTCCTCCTCCTCCACATTCAGCCTCTTCTCCCAGAAGATCTCCTACTAGCCATCACCATTCTGGCTCTGGTTCTCACAAAGCACATGCTTCTGAATCTGATGATGAAGATGCTGATAGCCACAAGGGTTTATCATCTGGGGTTATTATAGGCATTATTTTGGGTTCAGTTTTTCTAGCTGTTGTTGTGCTACTTGCTCTTGCTTTATGTATCCGAAAGCATAAAAAGAAGGAAAAAGGTGTGAGAACATCCAATGGGACTCCTCCTCTTGGAACCAATAATGGTGAATTCCCTCCCAGTGGTTCCCTGTCTCTAACTGTGTGTGCGTGCGTGCGAATCTTCTGCTTGTGTTTCTTAAACCAACAGTAATGTTAGACATGCATTAATCCGCTACATTATCTGTTGAATGTTAATATTTCAAGGCACAATAAGTTAATGATGGGTTTGATTATTGCTTCTCTAGGTAACTTAGGATTTGGAGCTTCTTGCTTTATGTAATTGCCTTGCTGAACATCTCTGTTTTTTGTTCATTTAGACATCTTGTACCACGTAGCTATTCATTTTATTCTGCTCATCAGTATCATCTATCTTCCATTAGAAAGTCAGTGGCAGTTTATTTTCTTAGATGTTAATTTGCAGTGTCTTTAGATATTATTTTCTTTTGTAGAATTCTCACAAAGATTACTTTCATGTCTATCTTGACATGTTCTGGGCTCATCTGGCCTTGTACTTGCAGTAACTCCTCCAATGCAAGAACAGAGGGTAAAGAGTGCTGCTGTTATTACAGACCTGAAACCTCCTCCTGCAGAAAAAGTGATAGCTGAGAGGGTTCCTTCGAAAAATGGATCTGCTAAGCGGATAAAATCCCCTATAACTGCTACATCATACACAATTGCTACTCTTCAAAGTGCAACAAATAGCTTCAGCCAGGAATTTATTATCGGTGAAGGTTCTCTTGGTCGAGTTTACAGGGCTGAATTCCCTAATGGGAAGGTAATCCTTTTACGTTGCAATGTTACCACCTTTCTATCATTTTGGAAATTATACTTGCTTTGTATAGAGATGTATAGATAAGGAATACATTTTAGATGTGAAGCCCAATCCTTCTTTTCTTTTCTTTTTTTGAGTAAAGCCCAATCCTTCTTTATTTAAATTACTTTAGTTGTAATTAAACTGTAGAGTGTAGACTATTTGCATTACAATGTTGTAGATATTTTACTTCACTGATAGGTTTGGCTATGCTGTATCTTCTACCTTAGGCTAGTTATGCTTCTGCCTTGTTAACTTTTCATCATGTGGAATTATAATTTCCCATTCAGTAATTGAAACTAATGTTTCTATTTTAGCAAAATAACCTTTGTTTTCTCATAATATTACTTAATTCCCTTTACCTTTTGATGATTTGACTCATTTTTTGTGATATTCAAACTTCAGAACAAATACTCTATACTCTACAACATTTATGCATGTTCCAATCTCTAATGGTTTCAGGTTTTGTTTTTGTTAGATCATGGCCATTAAAAAGATCGACAATGCGGCACTGTCATTACAGGAGGAAGACAACTTTCTTGAAGCTGTATCAAATATGTCACGCCTGCGGCATCCAAACATTGTTACACTGGCTGGGTACTGTGCAGAGCATGGGCAGCGTCTTCTAGTTTACGAGCATATTGGTAATGGAAATCTACATGACATACTCCATTTTGCTGAAGATAGCAGCAAGGCTTTATCTTGGAATGCCCGTGTTCGAATAGCACTGGGCACTGCCCGAGCATTAGAGTATGTTGGTTTTCTATTATGTATCAAGTCTACTTCATCATTTCCCTGCAGTAACTCATGATAGTATACCGCATTTTAACTTTTACATTTTTGTTGGTCAGATACTTGCATGAAGTATGCTTGCCTTCTGTTGTACATAGAAACTTTAAATCGGCAAACATATTACTCGATGAGGAGTTGAATCCTCAACTGTCTGATTGTGGTTTAGCTGCTTTAACGCCAAACACTGAACGGCAGGTTGGTGAACATACTTTGTTTCCCGCATGCATGGCTGGACATGATATCTGTGGATTCTTTTGCCATATGCTCTGTTAGTAAATTTCTTTGTCTTTAACAGGTTTCAACTCAGATGGTTGGCTCATTTGGTTATAGTGCTCCTGAGTTTGCATTATCAGGAATTTACACAGTGAAAAGTGATGTTTACAGTTTTGGAGTGGTAATGTTAGAGCTATTGACGGGTCGGAAGCCACTTGACAGGTGAACCTGGATTTTACATGTTCTAAAGCCAATGTTCATGCTCATCATTTTCATGTTTTGCTGCAATCCATGAGTTCTTAAACTCTTCATCTTAATGATATCTTCGATTGATGTGTAACTTCTATAAGTGTAGTTCACGAGCGAGATCAGAGCAGTCGCTTGTGAGGTGGGCTACTCCCCAACTTCATGATATAGATGCCTTGGCCAAAATGGTTGATCCTGCTTTGAATGGCATGTATCCGGCAAAGTCACTGTCACGCTTTGCCGATATCATTGCCCTTTGTGTTCAGGTAATGTTTTTTATTTTCAAATGGTTCATTAACTGCAATGCTGGGAATCTGGACATTCCATGTGATTTACCATGTTGCATCATGACTTTCCAAGCATGTTACACAGAACTCATTTTTTCTCATTTTGCTTGTGTACAGCCGGAGCCTGAATTCCGACCTCCCATGTCTGAGGTTGTGCAAGCACTGGTCCGGCTAGTGCAAAGAGCAAGTGTGGTCAAACGCCGCCCCAGTGACGAATCTGGGTTTGGTCACAAGACCCCAGATCATGAATCCTTTGACATGTCATTTTAAAGGTTTTTTAATTTCGAGCCATTTTGATATGATCTTATTTCAATTTTGTGTAAAGTGATATGCAGTTTTCTGACAGAACACAGGAAGGAATAGAGAAGTTGTGAAGATGTTTCAAACAGATCCAAGATATTTGTAATTACATGCATTGGAATTTTATTATTACTTCGGATAAAAAAGTACTATGGAAAACATATGTATATTATATTTAACTCGCCTTGATGTTGTATATTGTAGTTTATTATTCTCTCTGTTTTTCCCCCTTTTTTGCTTTTATTAAATTACCGTCTAAAGCGTCTCTTAAAGGTGACTAACTAGCTAGGATTTTTGATTGAGCATGCATATTGAAGGGCCTACTTGTCCTTTTATTCCCTTCCACAATCATGGTGATGATTAGAAGACATAGTTTTTTGAGCAAATAATTTCTTTTCTTTAGTGTGTAGCCGTTTTCTTTTTTAGAAGAAAAGGTACCGTTGTTTAACCATTATTTCCATGTTTGACTTCATTAATTAAAAACTAGATTGTGGACCCCAAGAAAAGCATGAAATTGAGATATGGAAGCGAACATCTTAGCGTCGTAACCTAGTTTTATGTTCTCAGAAAAAGAAGGAAGAAAAACTTAGTTCTGTTATATATATGTATAGAATATGTGTATTATAAAAATAAAATATAAGTTTTACATGTTATTTACTTTTGTATATCATGTTGAGGAGTTGTATTGATGGTCTATGGATAATGTAATTTGTTACAAATTGTTTTATATTCTCAGTTTTTATTATAAATTTCAAATAACTAATTCATAGATAATGAATAACTAGGTAAAATTAATAAAAAATAATAAATGTTAGAAATATATTTTTGTTTCTAAATACATCCTTATAATAAATAAGAAAAAGATAAAAGAGAATGTAAGTGGAAATGTAGTAAGAAAAAAATAATTAAGGGTAATATTAGAAAAAATATATTGAATGTTAAAACAAATACATAACGAGCTTTTTCAAGTTTAAAGCTTATAAATAAAATTGGAGAAAGTATTAATTGATAATAGTGCATAAAATCTCAAATGATTACCACTTATAAGTAATGGAGAGTGGGATTTTTTATTAGGTGGTGTTTGGAAAAACATAGAAATGTTTTAAAAAGGTAAACTTCACAGTTTACGTCGTGTATCATAAAATATTTTTAAAACTGTAGTTTTATTTCCGCAAATACTCCTTAGGTTTCCTTTCTTATAAGATTAGGGTCATTTTTCCAAATAATAATAAGAAGAAAAGATAAGAGAAGGAGAGAATCACCGCCAAACGCTTCCATAATGAATTTGATTGGTAACGTGTTGGCTGCCTAAGTTCTGGTAAGGCAACATTATATAAAAATAGTGGTTAGTGCCATTCCCACAATTGAGATCTATCACAAGAGAACCATTTCTTTTTTGGTTGGAAAAATTACATTACAAGATTATGAAATCTATGATAAAATATTTTAGCTATTTAAATTATGTAGAAAGTCTAAGATATTGATTTGACTAAATTTTCTTTATAACACACACCAAATTATAAATCTTATATTCATCTGAAAACTTGGATTTGGATCCAATAAAAAGCATATTCAGTAGAAATAATTAAATTCCACGTTAATCATCCATTTATAACTTGCTGAAATGAATCAAATAATATATCTTACTAGTAATTTATATAATCTAAGGGGTTTAATGGAAAATGGGATAAAACCAACCAAATACAAATAAATGCTTAGTTAAAAGGTTTCATAAATCTTTTTCTTCTTATTTTTTTTTGGAAATTTTTTGAAAATTCTTCTTAATCTTGGTAGTATTACTTATTTGGAGCGAGAGCCTCGTCGCCGGAATTCAGAGTTTCGGACAGCTTTTCTTTCTTCCGTTTGAAGTAGTTCTTCAGATTTCAACTCTTCGTCTTCTTTTTGAAGTAATTCGTATTTCAACTCTACTTCTTCTTGTTCCCGGCATTTGCTTCTCCGGTTTTGGGTCTGACCCGAATCTGAATCATGCAATCTTCTACAGATCTCTTCACCGAATTCAATTACAAACGATACGGCCTCCAACCAAAGAGAGACAATGATAATGATCCACCCCATGCGGTTCCGGATCATTATGAACCCATTATCGCTCGCTCCAGCTCCTTCCACTCTCCGTCCACCTCTCCAACTTCGAGAAGCCATCAGTCCTCTCCAAATCATTCCCCCAGACTTGGACCCAGTCGGCTCTCGAGCTTCCACAGATCCCATTCTTCATTCTCCTCTTCGCCTTTCAAATGGAATGCATGGGGCTTCCTGAAAAACTGGAAGTTGCAATTGAATCCTCCTCAGCAGCACAAGGGAAAGTTGAAGGCGGGAAAGTCATGGTATCGCACGAAACGAGTGAAAGGGCTTCTGTTGCTTATTGGGCTGCTGGGTTCCTTCTTCTTGGTAAATTGGATTATGCTTACGCGTCTGCAAGATGAAGCGGTGCATCCTATCACTGAGTTATCGAGAAATTCATCTGCTGATTCAGTTTCGGTTTCGGTTCAGGTAGTGCATGATTAGTATTGTGGATTTTAAATTCTAGGAACTTTTTTTCCCCCGTCCCTTGCTAATAATTACAACTTGTTGCCTACCAGTTCATACCTTTTTACGATGGAGTTGTGTTAAAACGAGTGAAGTAGATGGTAGAGGGTATTAATGTGATCAGACGATATTTGAGACTTTTCTACCATGTACCTTGAGGCGAAGCATATATATACGTCTATACAAGTAAATTCTGAAAATAAAAAACCGATGGACCCAGTGCATGAACATACTTTGGAAGCTGGTTTCGGCAGGGCACTTTGGATATTAGATACCCAATAATTAATGCCCAATCTTTTTGATAATATCATATATTTGGCCTGTGGATGTGAGAATTTTGCTTTTTTTTTTTTTTGGGCATTTACCTAGTATTCGTATGGTGGATATACATTTTGTATCCAGGTACAGATGAATGAAAAATGATCACGTAGATGCCTATTGCGCAGCTGACTGTCAGGAATGATAGTGAAATGCATTAGATTGCATATAGTTGAGAAACTGAGGTCTAAGGGAGTCACTAGGAACTTGTCCCCTTAAAAGAAGAGCCTTCATGTGCATCACCCTGGTTAAATATTTTAGCAGATGTTGAAATTCAAAGGTCTAATTTCTTGGTCTTTCAATTGTCTGTTTACTTTATTTTCCCATTTGTTATTTTCTTGCAGGGGAAATGGAAAAAAACTAGAAAAGGGAAAAAGCCACCGAAGGGAAATTATGAAAGATTGTTGGCTTTGGCTGCCCATGCTTTGGCAGAGGTATCAGGATCTGTAGCCTGTTAGTAATTACAACCATGAAATATTAGAATCATTAAATCAAATGCCAGATTAAATCTCTCTGTTTGCAAGTCTGCAGTTGTTCTGATTTGTTTCATATGGGTACAGAATAAACGTGAGCCTAAAGATTTGTGGCAGGAGCCTTTTGCTCCTGCTTCTGCCTGGAGACCTTGCGCTGATCAGCGTAATTGGGAACCTAGTGGTATGCCTATGTTAAATTTGATTTTATTTTTAATATCATGTACGTGTGTGTGAGTAAATGTAGTATGTTGGTCTATAAGGTGACACTCAAAGTCTGCTGCCTGCTATTGTACTTTGATAGAGGGAAATAATGGATACATTTTGATGACTGCAAATGGTGGAATAAATCAACAACGAGTAGCTGTAAGTGTCTTTATTAGACTGTTCCACCTTAATGGATATTTCTCTTCTTCTGAATATGAGTTTGGTTTGGTCCAAAGAATAAAAGCTCTATTGTTCAATGATTAACATACTATATATGTTGATTTTGATGACAATAGGTTTGCAATGCGGTGGTTGTGGCCCGATTACTTAATTCAACTTTGGTTATTCCCAAATTTATGTTTAGTAGTGTATGGAGAGATGTAAGGTGATGATGCTCTTTCTATCCTTCTAACTTTTCCCTTCTTATCTTACATGATTGAATAACCAAATGTTCAGTCCTTGGGATAAGCGTCCAAATGGGATTCTGCTGATTTAATGAATGTTATATTACCTAAGTGAAATCTTTTCTAGTTGTTTTGGCTGAATGAAATTTGCTATTGAACTTCTGCTTCAAATGGATACCCATGATTTTTCCCCCTGACTAATTTGGGGGGCATATGATTAAATATTACTACATCACAGGATGTTAACATATGCTTTATGGGTTTCCCTCTAAGTAATGTGGATCATTGGTAATTGTAGTTATTCTTATGTTCAACTAGAATTGCCAATTTTACAATTGCCCTGTTTATTTTAATGATGCGTCTTTAGTCCATAGGTCTTCTGATCTCCTCCTTTTTTTTGGTCAATACTTCTTCTTATAATTGCTTTACATGGAAATTGACAGTACCAAATTGTATAATTTGATTAATTTCAGTCAATTCAGTGACATCTATCAGGAGGAGCATTTTATAAATACTTAACATCTGATATAAGGATAGTAAAGGAACTTCCTGAGGAATTGCGGTCTTTAGACTTGGAGGCAATTGGTAGTGTTGTAAGTTACTGCCCTTCCAGTAAACTAATGCTTTCACGTTAGTTCCTTTTGTATTAGTTATTGGGATTGTCTTCTTTCAGGTATCAGATGTTGACATGGGAAAAGAGGCCAAGCCAAGTTTTTACTTGAAGCACATTCTACCTATTCTACTCAAAAATCAAGTTGTCCATTTTGTTGGTTTTGGGAATCGCTTAGCATTTGACCCAATACCATTTGAGCTGCAGGTAAATCCTTTTTGATGTTTTGTCATTTCAGTTGGATTTGTCCTTTCATCTGAATCCTTACTATTCTGTTCTGATTGGAGAACTTCATCTAGAGACTTCGTTGCAGATGTAATTTTTATGCGCTGCGATTTGTCCCCAGAATACAAGAAACTGGTGCTTTGCTTCTTAAAAGGCTGCGCCAGCATACTGGTCACATTGGACTGTTGGATCCATATCTCATTGGTCCATTTGCGGCATCAATTTTGGAGGAAGAGGAAATCAGTCCAAAAAGGCATCTAAATATCTATCTTTGCATCTCAGATTTGAAATTGACATGGTAGCTCATTCTTTGTGTGAATTCGGGGGAGGTGAAGGTGAGAGGAAAGAATTGGC